CTGCAAATGCCTCCTCTTTTGAGGCACCATTATTCTGATTCATGTAACATCCATCTGCTGATATTTTCTGCTCAAACTGCAAACAGTAGAAGCAAAAACAAAAAATTAGGCCACTGTTAAATCGATTATTGGATTTGTGATATGTTTGTAAGGACCATTATCGATGACAAAAATATGAACTTCTCACCCCAAATCCTGCCAAGTCGTTCATTAGCCTACCAATTATTTCTGAACCTTGTAGGATTAATGGATCGCTTGCTACCCACTCAAAGGCTTCCTTGCTCACTAACTCTCCTATGGCTGTCAGAGAAACTGAAGAAAACAATATGTAACCGCTAGATGGCTTTCCCACTTTCATATATTCTTCCAGGGTCGGAATATAGCCACTGTACACCCATTTCGCCTCTTGAAGATAAGTTCTCACGAGTCTTTTCGTCTGAAATTCGGAACATTGATTTAGGAATTAATATATAGCAAACACAACTAGTTTATCTGGTAATTAATTAATTACCTCTTCTATCATGAAGTGAACAAGGTATGATTTCCCTGTCTTTCCCAACTCTTCCTCAATCTCGACATAAACATCTAAAAGAGATTTGTAATAATATTTCATGTACGGTGGTAGCTGATCAACGAGACTAAGATCCCATCTTCTCATGAAGATATCCAATATCAAATAAAAGTTTAATTAGGTGAACCTTTATTTTGTTTAATAAATTATGAAGTATGCTATGAGATAATAAAAAATGCACTGAAATAATTTACCTTTCAATTGCATCCATGAGAAGAGTGAGTTCATCGAGAGTCCCATAAATGTCATAGATGTCGTCAATGACAGAAACCATGGCGATTACTTTGGCTAGCATTTTCCTACCATGAGAATATTGGGGCTCAAAGTATACTCCCAATGCCCAAAAGTAGCATTCCACCAATCTATCTCTTGCAAAAGGTAATTTATTTTCAAACTCTAACGCCTTCCACCACCTGCATAAAATTTATTTTCAGAAGATCTCAGAAATTTTACTAGCATTTATAGTCAATATTAAATTGATAAGTCCTGTTGCTTGACATTGGTCGAAACTAAGAGAAAATGGTATAATTCAACTGACTACTGATGTCTCGAGAAGGCAAAACAATCTTTATACTCTT